ACAACACCTGGCTGTTTTTGGAGACGAGGTCTTAGTCTTGCTCAGGCTGATCTCTAACTCCACCTGATCCACCTGTCCCAACCTCCGAAAGTGCTAGGATTACGGGCGCGAGCCACTGCGCCTGACCTTTGACATAATAATTTGATCATTGTCTAAAAAGGCAACTTTAAGCTAACTGAGCTGAAAACTTAGATTAAAAGAACAGAGTACTACACATGTTGCCAAAACTGTCTCAAAAAGGGATGGAGGCCGGGCTCGGTGGCTTACGCCTGTAATCCTAGCACTCTGGGAGGCCAAGGCACGTGGATTACTCAAGCTCATGAGTTCGAGACCAGCCTGAGCAAAAAAGTGAGACCCTGTCTCTACTAAAAATGGAAAAACTGAGGCAAGAGGATGGCTTGAGCCTGAGTTGGATGGAGGTTGCTGTGAGCTAGGACGCCAGGGTGACAGCTTGAGACTCTGTCTCAAAAAAAATAATAAAAAGGGATGGAAAACTTGACTTTAACCATTAAAGTAACAGAATCTGTAGTCAAAAGTCTTCCCAGAGAGAAAGTCCTGTCCCAAATGGCTTTGCTGGTGAAACACTCAAGAAACAAACATTCCAATTTTACAAAAGCAATTCTGGAGTGTATCAAAACAGGGATCATGCCTAATTCATTTTATGGGACTGATAATAACCTTCATACTAAAACCTGATGTGTCAGAAAGAATATTCAGAACAATCTCAAGAACATATATATAAATATTCCAAACAAAATGATAGCTACCTAAGTCCAAAATATTTTTTGAGACAGAGTCTCACTTTGTCACCCTTGGTAGAGTACCGTGGCGTCACAGCTCACAGCAACCTCCAAATCCTGGGCTTAGGTGATTCTCCTGCCTCAGTATATGGGGCCGGCACCCTCAGTATATGGGGCCGGCACCCTACCCACTGTGCCGCAGGCACCGCCCAAGTCCAAAATATTTTAAACATGATGTGACCAAATTGGATTCATTCCAAAAATGCAATGTGTTTTACTATTTGATCTCAGCATAATTGGCTGAGATATTGGCATCATAATTAGAAGATTAGGAGAAAAATCACAATCATGTTAATAGAGAAAGGGCTAAAATTCAACATCTACTCATGATTTTTAAAATCTTAAGAAATTAAGGACTTTGTAGATAGGGTATCTACAAAGATTCACTGAGAACTACATACTAACAGTGCAATGTTAATAGCTTTTACATCGGGAAAAATCACCATTTCTACCAGCACAATAAAGCAAGGGAAAGAGATAAAAACATTTTTTTTTTTGAGACAGAGTCTCACTATGTTGCCATCTGTAGAGTGCGTGGTGTCACAGCTCACAGCAACCTCAAACTGTTGGGCTTAAGCAATTCTCTTGCCTCAGTCTCCCAAGTAGCTGGGAATACAGGCAGGTGCCTGCCACAACATCTGGCTATTTAGTTGTTATTGTTGTTTAGCTGGCCCGGGTCAGGTTTAAACCTACTACCCTCAGTGTATGTGGCTGGTGCCATAACCACTGTGCTATGGGTGCTGAGCCAAGAGATAAAAACCATTTAAAGATCGAGCCAGGCATGGTGGCTCATGCCTGTAATCCTAGCACTCTGGGAAGCTGAGGCGGGTAGGTTGCCTGAGCTTATAGGTTTGAGACCAGCTTGAGCAAGAGAGAGACCCTGTCTCTAAAAATAGGGCATTGGCTCAGCACCTGTGGCTCAAGTGGCTAAGGCACCAGCCACATACACCTAAGGTGACGGGGTCGAATCCAGCCCGGGCCCGCCAAATAACAATAATGGCTGTAACCAAAAAATATAGCCAGGCGTTGTGGCAGGCACCTGTGGTCCCAGCTACTTGGGAGGCAGAGGCAGGAGACTTGCTTGAGCCCAGGAGTTGGAGGTTGCTATGAGCTGTGATGCCATGGCACTCTACCCAGGGGGATAGCTTGAGGCTCTGTCTCAAAAAAATAAATAAATAAAAATAGGGCATTGTGGTAAGGTGCCTGTAGTCCTAGCTACTCTTGAGGCTGAGGCAGGACAGTCGCTTGAGCCCAAGTGTTTGAGGTTGCTGTGAGCTATGATGCCATAGCACTCTACCGAGGGTGACAAAGTGAGACTCTGTCTTAAAAACAAAACAAAACAAAAACATTTAAAGATTAAAAATGAAGAAGAGAATTGCTATTATTTGCAGATGATGCTATATTGGATATAGAAAATCCAAAATAACCTATGGTTAATTTATTAAAACTATTAAGAATTTAGGAAGATTTATGAATGAAAAAATCCATATTTAGGGTGGTGCCTGTGGCATGGTGTGTAGGGTGCCGGCCCGGTATACTGAGGGTGGTGGGTTCAAACCCCACCCTGGCCAAACTGCAACAAAAAAATAGCCGGGCATTGTGGTGGGTGTCTCTAGTCCCAGCTACTCAGGAGGCTGAGGCAAGAGAATCACCTAAGCCCACGAGCTGGAGGTTGCTGTGAGCTATGACACTATGGCACTCTACCAATGGCGATAGAGTGAGACTCTGTCTCAAAAAAAAAAAAATCCATATTTAAAACTCTATTGCTCTTTTTTTTTTGCAGTTTTTTTTTTTTTTTTTTTTTTGGCCAGGGCTGGGTTTGAACCCACCACCTCCGGCATATGGGGCTGGCACCCTACTCCTTTGAGCCACAGGCGCTGCCCCTCTATTGCTTTTATATGCCAATAACAAACAGAAAATTTTAAGGTATTTATGAAGTACTTAGAAATTAACAGGCTTGGCGCCTGTGGTTCAAGTGGCTAAGGCAAGCCACATACACCTAAGGTGTGGGTTGGAATCCAGCCCGGACCCGCCAAACAACAATGATGGCTGCAACCAAAAAATATCCAGGTGTTGTGGCAGGTGCCTGTAATCCCAGCTACTTGAGAGGCGGAGGCAGGAGAATCGCTTGAGCCCAGGAGTTGGAGGTTGCTGTGAGCTGTGATGCCATCTCACTCTACCCAGGGTGACAGCTTGAGGCTCTGTCTCAAAAAAAAGGAAAAGACAAATTAAGCCCAGAGCAAACTGATAGAAGGAAATAATAAAGATAAGAAAAATATCAAGAAATTTGAAAGCAGAATAACAATAGAAAAAAATCAATGACTCCAAAAGCTGGTTCTTTAGAAAGATAAAAAAAATTGATCAAACTAGCCAGACTGACCAAAAACACCAAAAAAAAGAGAGAGAGAAGACATAAATTACCAATATCAGGATTGAAAGAGGCAGACAAAAGGGATATTGGGGAGTTATGGTTTAATGGGTACAGAGTTTCAGTTTTGCAAAATGAAATAAGTTCTGGAAACAGATGATGGTGCTAATTGCATAGCACTATCAATATGCTTGAACTGAACACTTAAAAATGGCTAAGATGGTAAATTTTTTATGTTACATATATTTTGCCACACTTGAAAAATAAATATATATATATATATTTTTTGAGACAGAGCCTCAAGCTGTCCCCCTGGGTAGAGTGCCATGGCATCACGCTCACAGCAACCTCCAACTCCTGGGCTCAAGCGAGTCTCCTGCCT